TTTTTTAAAATATTTTATACAGAATACGTCACTATCAAACAACGTCTATTTAAGTATCAAACGAGATACGTCGTAATACAACGCATCGTAAATCTTTCGCGCTGAAGCATGACCCTAACAGACCCCGACGGCTAGTTAGTGCGATTCGTATAATTTACGTCGGCTCGTTAGCAAACGCACCGGACTCGTAAATCCGTGTGTGAATCAATCCTCAATCGGCCTATCTGTCCAGTTTATAGGCTGAATACAATCGCAGATCAATTGATTTATTGTCACGCGTGTAACTCGATTTTTAGTACGGAATTGGTGTTAGATTTTTAAAAAAAAAACACTATAACATTCAAAACTCAGATCTATAAGTGAGCTAGTAAGTTATATTATGCGCTGGAGCTAAATATGTTTTTTTTTTATTAAGGAAGGATTACTGGTGGCCCGAGGCTTTTCCAGTTTCATCAGGACAGGGGGCGAGCACGGGGTCAGCCAGGAGGAGTGGAACTTAGACCTTTTTTTTTATTGCATAGATGAGTGGACGAGCTCACAGCCCACTTGGTGTTAAGTGGTTACTGAAGCCCATGGACATCCACAACGTGAATGCACCACCCACCTTGAGATATAAGTTCTAAGGTCTCAAGTTTAGTTACAACGGCTGCCCCACCCTTCAAACCGAAACGCATTACTGCTTCAAGGCAGAAATAGACAGGGCGGTGGTACCCACCCGCGCGGACTCACATGAGGTCCTACCACCAGTAATTACGCAAATTATAATTTTGCGGGTTCAATTTTTATTACAAGATGTTATTCCTTCACCATGGAAGTCAATCGTGAGCATTTGCTTAGTACGTATTTCATTAGAAAAATTGGTACCCGCCTGAGATTCGAACACCGGTGCGTCGCTCAACACGAATGCACCGGACGTCTTATCCGTTAGGCCACGATGACTAAAATGCGCTTGAGATAAATATATATTTTTTTATTAAGGAAGGATTACTGGTGGCCCTGAGGCTTTTCCAGTTTCACCAGGACAGGAGGGGCGAGCACGGACTCAGCCAGGAGGGGTGGGAGTTAGACCATCATGTCTTAAGTGTGTGGGCTAGTGGCAATCGCGTAGTAATTTCTATGGACCACAGTAATCTCTTAAAACCAAATTCGCCGTGAGTACTTTCATCCTTTGTTGTATCACTCTTATCAGAGCGGTGGTAGTTGTCATTCAGTATGGTTGCTATGCGTCTTACGAGCAATCGCCACTTCTCCCGGCTTGTGGTAGCGTGGTGCACTCATGCAAACAATTGTCAACTGTCGACTTGACTTAGTCAGTCCATCGCAGGACCAACCTTCCACGCGGTCTGATGCTTTCAACTTTGCCCTAAACGACAGTTTCATCCATCTACAAAAAGGCAGTTCTACATCTATATATTAATACGTGAAGCAAAAACTTTGTACTCCTTTTTACGAAAATTGCGCGGACGAAGGAGTATGAAATTTCCCACACTTATAGAGAATATAATTATTATCCATATAGAAGTTTGCACAAAGTAGGAATGAGTTGCTCGGTCCGGGCGTTTCAATATTGCAATAATTGTTACGTTATATACTATTTGTTTATTGTCAAACTTTTCTTATTGTTTATAATCTGTGGTCAAATTGAGAATAGATTAAATATTGTTTGTCTTTATTATTATTTGTCTAAAGTGTAGTCTTGACGCAATCTGTGATTATAGAAGTATAATAGTCTGTGACAATAGAATCATATTAGTGTACAAACTTATAATTTCAATTAATTATAGTCGAATTTTGACTACCGGGGGATCACTAGTGACCATAAACAGCATGATACTATAGCAATTACGAGATCTTCACAGCGCCACGCACTGATCGGACCTACATGTGTATACATATCCGACAGTCCTATACTACATAATATGTGCGTATTACAATGATAAAAACCTGTTCTAAATGGCTATAACACAAAATGTACTTGACATTAAGGCCAGTAATAGCATTCTCGTGTTTAATCCACTCAGTAATATAATAAATTGTATTTGTTTTTTTTTTTTTTAAAACAACAATCTTTAGACGGAATCGTGAGCTTGCATGTGAAATGACGCAGGCTCTATTTGTGACTTTGTGCAGGTATTTAAATTGTATTTTTGTCTTTAAATTTATTTCTTTATTACCTTTTTTTATTGCTTAGATGGGTGGACGAGCTCACAGCCCACCTGGTGTTAAGTGATTACTGGAGCCCATAGACATCCACAACGTAAATGCGCCACCCACCTTGAGATATAAGTTCTAATGTATTTTTACTGGTGGTAGGACCTCTTGGGAGTCCGCACGGGTAGGTATCACCACCCCGCCTATTTCCGCCGTGAAGCAGCAATGCGTTTCGGTTCGAGGGGTGGGGTAGCCGTTGTAACTATACTGAGACCTTAGAACTTATATCTCGAGGTGGGTGGCGCATTTACGTTGTAGATGTCTATGGGCTCCAGTAACCACTTAACACCAGGTGGGCTGTGAGCTCGTCCATCCATCTAAGCAATAAAAAAAAAACAAATTACTAAACACAATTATTATTTTTAGAATAAAAAATGAATTCTCGAGATAGTGTCAGTTGACAGTAATTATGTCAAAAATATCGACAAACATTACACAATGTAAGCATAGAGTTTGTCGCGAATTGGTAAATAATGATAATATTTAAAGCAAACACTGCAGATTTCTATTTTGTTTTCTAATGGCAGTTTTAGGTAATATAAAAGATGAATGATATTTTTAAATGGGCTGTGAGCTCGTTCACCAATCTAAGAAATAAAATAAAAAATGGGTAGACGAGCTCACAGCCCACCTCGTGTTAAATGGTTACTGGAGCCCATAGGCATCCACAACGTAAATGCGCCACCCACCTTGAGATATAATTTCTAAGGTCTCAAGTATAGTTACAACGGCTGCCCCACCCTTCAAACCGAAACGCATTACTGTTTCACTGCAGAAATAGGCAGGGTCCTACCATCAGGCATTACGCAAATTATAATTTTATAATTTTGCGGGTTTCATTTTTATTACACGATGTTATTCCTTCACCGTGGAAATCAATCGTGAACATTTGTTGAGTACGTATTTCATTAGAAAAATTGGTACCCGTCTGCGGGATTCGAACACCGTTGCATCGCTCAGCACGAATGCACCAGACGTCTTATCCGTTAGGCCACGATTATTTCAAATTAATCAATTCAATTACCGGTAGAAGGCGCTTTCGAGGTCTGCAGAGGCTATTCCTGTCGGGAAACCCTTACGAATTTTCATTTGAAAACACAGCCGTTTTCTTTGAAGCTTTCACAGCAGGTCTTAAGGTTCAATTTAAGATAAATATGGTCTCCCATTACCGGTCAACATCTGGTTCTACTGGTAGCAGGGCGTCTTGTGAACCGCACGGGTAGGTACCACCGCCCTGCCTATTTCTGCCGCGAAGCAGTAATGCGTTTCGGCTTGAAGGATGAAACCGCCGTTGTACTATAAAACTGAGATTGAAACTCATATCTTAAGCAGCATTTGCGTTGACGCTTACGGACTCCGATAACCGCTTATTAATCTAAGCAATAAATAAAAAGTTAACACTAGAAGCAGGCTTAGGGACCCCGGTAACCGTACTTGTTGAACTCGACAAAGAGGTCGACGTGCAACTTAACCCATGCATCAACTCGCTAAGTTTCTCGCCGATGCGGTAGTAGATTCATTCGCGAAGCAGTTGCTCTTGAGTTAGGTCTCCTTCGGAGGCGCTCGGGCAGCTGTTAGCAAATCCCACCCCTCCTGGCTGAGTCTTTGCTCGCCCACCTGTCCTGGTGGAACTGGAAAAGCCTCAGGGCCACCAATCATCCGTCAATAATAAATAATAAAAAAATTATAATTCACACCGTGGACTTGTTCGAACCCATACGCAAAGACTGCCTACACTTGTCTATCAAAGCTTAAATCATTTTGATTTAAACAAAAACTATAAATCCACGTAAACTTGCACACATCACATGTAATATAATACAATTTACGAAATCTCGCGTGACCCGTTGCACGCGTGACGAGAACTCCAATAGGATCTCCATATCCATTTTATTTCTTTATTCACTTAGAGCTTCAGTTTATTCACTTAGATAATCGAGATAATGAACATAAAAAAAAACTAGCCGTACCCGCCCGCTTCGCTGGGCATTTAAAATTAACATTATTATTTATTGTCAGTCATTATTATTAGGGAATCCAACACTTATATAAATATTAGCCTATCCATTAAGTACATGTATTTTCTACATGGATACCAAGTTTCAAGTCAATCGGATGCATGGTTCGGTAGTTATAACGGAACATCCGTAAAAACTACTGTAGATTTGTTTAATAGTATATAATATATGGTTGAATAGATAAACTTATGTAAAAATGTTAGCCCCGTTAAAGCGATATTGGAGTTAGTACGTAAGATCTGCGTAATTAAAACTATAAATTAATTATACAACGAATACATTGCACTTTTTATGGTCGTCCACTTGTTGGAGTGTTATAGTGAGGCCTCAATCTGCACAGACAAAAGCAAGAACCTTTTGTGGTCTGAAATGTTTTAATAAATAAGTATGTCGAGGCGAAGAAAAAAATTTTGAATATCATCTCTATATATAAAAATGAATTGCTGTTCGTTAGTCTCGCTAAAACTCGAGAACGGCTGAACCGATTTGGCTAATTTTGGTCTTGAATTATTTGTCGAAGTCCAGAGAAGATTTAAAAGGTAGATAAATATGAAAATGCTCGGAATTAAATAAAAATAACAATTTTGTTTTTCCTTCGATGTGTCCCCCGTCGGACCGATTCCTTTTGTTTGTTTTAAGTTTATTTTATACATAAGTTTAGGTCTTTTATTTATCGATTGAGGCAATACGAAGTCTGCCGGATCAGCTAGTTAACAATATAAATCCACATACATTCGTATCTTTTGTGACAAAACAAAATTTATTTTACAGAACTTTACTTAAAATGTTCCTCAAAGTGTAACAAAGTTAGCCTTAAATATATAATAACGCATATTGTGAGCAGTGCAACAGTGCAGTGTCAAAAAAATGTTCCAAGTGAACGTTAATAGAAACATGTGAAAATGAACGAAATCAATTTGAAATTCGTCTTTATGCCTATCAAGATAAGAATTAAGATGTAATACAATGTTGGAATGTATACGGCCCGTGAACATTGTAGTACACGCGGCAGCCAAATTTGGGAAGCATCGTGTGAGGAGCACCGGCCAGTTTTTGCTGATATTTCTCGTCTTACATTTTATAAGGTAAGTAAGTTCATTTTGAATATGGTTATTTTTTTTTAGAATGTGTTCCTCTACTTTGTACGGATTAAGTGGAAGAAATTATCACGTAAGAAAAAGAAACATTATGTGTCTAATTTATAATTTACTATTTTCACTTTTTTTTAATTGAATAGTCTTCCTTACAATATAATAGGAAAGTGAATTAACTACATATTTATTTATTTTATTATTATTTAAATAATTATCACTTCAATATTTATTTCAAAACAAAAACCTGGTGCATTTTGTATTACTTGTAATGGAATATAAAATTGAAAATAAAATTTATATTTGACATTGCAGTACATTGCGCGTATACGTAACAATATTTTTGTCGACGGGCGTCTTTTTCTACCCTACATTGCCTAAAAATGAGATATTTAATTGATCATTGCCGAATCGACGAAAAAATATCCAAACACGTCTCAATTATACTCCGACCTTAAAAGTCCATTGACCTCGAGCGTTGAGCTCTAACGAGTTTGCATTACATTGCTTACTATAAAAAGCAGCTTTTTTTAATAATTTTTATTTTTTATGACTTGGATGAATGAACGAGCTCACAGCCTACCTGGGGCTAAGTGATTACCGGAGCCCATAGACATCTACAATGTAAATGCCACCACCCACCATGAGATATGAGTTATAAGGTCTCAGTATAGTTACAACGGCTGCCCCACCCTTCAAACTTCATGAGTTGCTCGCTCCAGGCATTTCAATATTGTAGTAATTGTTACGTTATAATACTCAGTGTAAAAAATTCATATTTAAAAAAATAATAATATTAAAAAATAAATAAATAATAATTTTATATGTAAAAAAAAAAGACATGCCCGCTGAGTTTCTTGCCAATTCTTCTCAGGACGGAGGCTAGTTCTTGTGAATTGGCGGTAGTTCTTTTGACGTTCAACAAGTATGTACTTTCATTTATGTTGAATAAAATTTTTTTGATTTGATTTGATTTGATTTAAACCGAAACGCATTACTGCTTCATGGGCAGAAGTAGGCAGGACGATGGTGCCTACCCGTGCGGACTCACAGGAGGTCCTACCACCAGTTATTGCGCAAATTATAATTTTGCGGATTTGATTTTATTACAAAATGTTATTCCTTCACCATGGAAGTCAATCGTGAACATTTGTCAAGTACGTATTTCATTAGAAAAATTGGTACCCGCCTGCGGGATTCGAACACCGGTGCATCGCTACATACGAATGCACCGGACGTCTTATCCTTTAGGCTACGACGACTTCAAGAATTATTATTATTAAATTTTCCCTGCGGGGTTTCCACTGACTCAGAAAGAGACAAGCAGAATACCGAGGTAGGAACGTAGGTAGGTACTACAAAAAAAAACATCGATCAAGTTAACATAATTAAACCCACAAATCGTTTACAAATTTCCATAAATTAACATCAAAAATATTGACCAGAAAACGATTATGAAACTTAACCATGAATTATGCAAAATACCCTTATAAAGGATTGAAGGTTTCGACAAACAGTTTTGTGTCGAATTATATTTTGAAGGATTTAGGGTTGTCAAACGATAGATCTTAACACGAGAATCGTACAATCAGCCCTCTGTCTCTCTCTCTTCAATTGGTCTCTCATTCCTGAGGATCGTGACTCGTCCGATTCCGTCAACTAGCCGTCTCCATCGATCCCGTTCTGTAGCTTGGTGGAGTGCGTCGCTGACAGGTATTCCCAGTTCCTCCGCTATTTGGTCCCACCATCGTTTGGGAACTCTACCCCTAAGCCTTTTTCCCTCGATTTTGCCGGTCACCATAAGGCGTTCCAAATTGTTGGTATCCCTGCGTGCAACATGACCAAAATACCGAAATGTTCTTTGTACGCAGGTTGATATCAGCCTTATTTGATACATAAATATGTTTTTAGTATAGTTGAATTTGGACCTTGAGTTTTTTTTCCTTATATGGATGAACGAACTCACGGCCCACCTGGTGTTAAATAGTTACCGGAGCCCATAGGAATCTACAATGTAAATGCCCCACCTTGAGATACGAGTTCTAAGGTCTCCGTTTTTACAGTACAACGGCTGCCCCACCCTTCAAATGCATTACTACTTCAAGGCAGATATAAGCAGGGTGGTGATACCTATCTGTAGGGTCTCACAAGACGTCCTTCCACCATTCATAAAAATGATCGTGTCTCAAGATGTGCTACCTAGCAAGGCTTAATGTTGTTGAACCATGTACATAACAATTGTTCATTCCTTTACTATTAGCTTAGTATCAATTTGGAACACTAAATTGAATATATAATAATCAGTAATAATCAGTCTCCTGCCCTTCTCCCAGTCACTTGGGGTCGGCGCAACATGTTTTCTTCTTCCATACTCTTCTATCACAAACCATTTCTTCACTCATTCTCCTCTTACACATATCGTCTTTCACGCAATCCATCAATTTTTTCTTAAGTCTACCTCTCCCTCAAAAGCCTTCCACATTCATAGTTAAAACTCGCTTAACAACCTCATTGTCATTGAATATCTCGCGATGTAATTAACGTAAGGAAATCATAATACAACATTCGCCAGCCCTACACGAATTTCCAACAAAAAATTAAGAAATACCCACACACAACCTTATCTTTGAGTACGTTCATACCACAAAAGGGATCCATCAAGAGGCTTCACTTAACGTATAATTAGGAACGATAAATACGCCAAAACCAAGCCGGGCCGTAATCGAACATACAACAAAAACTCTAGTGATTTTTTACTGAGTTTTCTTGTACAAGCCCTATTGCGAATTTTTTTTCCTCTCTAGCACGGAAGACGTATGATTTTTTTATCTTCTTCTAAATTACCTTTTATTGAATTCACCTTAGTTTACTATACACGTTTAGCTGGGATTTTTTTGCAGCTTTAAGATGAACAGTCAGTGATGTTTGGACTTTAAGTTTATTGTTAAGAGAACAATACAAATGCAACCGCGGCAAGAGATCGAAGTAGTGTTAGGGATACACGGGTATTTTCCTGCTCACACTGCCCTGAAACAGTCAGTGCTGTCAGGTAATCCAAACCGTCTACAACAGTGCTTCTCAAATTTCGATCCTCATATCCCTTGGTAAAGCTTCTCATTTATGAGTACCCCTTATAAACTCAATATCTAGACCTAAACATGTAGCTCGTCTCTGTTCAAAAATTGATTATAACATTCATTTTAAACTGCATATTGTAGGCATAATAAATTATAATAATATTTATATAAGTTAATTGTTTTAACTATTCAGTATCTCCGCCATTATCAACATAATTTTCACGTAATCCCAATGAGACACCGCGTACCACAGATTGGGAATCGCTTCTCCAGAGGAATGAAAATATATGTTGAGTGTCTGTAACATTTAAAACATGGAGTTAATTATTGAATACCCTTTGATCCGGTGGTAGATTCTGCGAAGCACTGCCCTTGCTAGGGTCAGTGTTAGCAACTCTCCGGATTGAGCCCCGTAAGCTCACCTACACACACTAGGGTAACACTGAAATAGCCTCTCAAGGCTATCAGCATAGGTAGGAAAAAAAAAGTGCGTGCGTACAAAGTACACATGTCAGAAGTGAAACTTTTTGGCGAACTAATTTATGAGTCTTGCTTATATTTATACAAATCTAAAACTTTAGATTTCCGAGACTTAGAGGAAGGGAAAAAGGAAGATATGTTCCAGCCAAAAGTCTTTCAAATGTCAATCTCAAACCTCAGTGTTGACAGTCATATTATGTTTAGATTTCTAAATTGTAAATGACTAATATTTTGCCAATTGAATTGACTAATTTAATTTCATGCTATTTGATTAATGTTCCAAATTCTTTTCACTTCATTTCAATTCCTATTAACATTTTTAACAAAAAAATTATAAAATTTTTGGTATGATACATTTGCCTTTCCAGTTGGAAAAATACAACAACTACTACTACTGACATTTGACAAGTACTTAATTTCAATAGTAGTTTGACGTCACTTCCGTTGCATACCCACTTGCAAAAACCACTTACCTTACTAGAAATAATTTTCTCGTTAAAAATAAATAAAATACATGAACATAAAATTCAGTAAACAAAAACAAAAGTAGGTACATGAATAGTTCCCATTATATTTTTTATTAATTTTTTTTATTGCATAAATGGGTGGACGAGCTCACAGCTGATGTCAAATGGTTACCGGACATCTATAACGTAAATGCCACCCCCTCACCTTGAGATATGAGTGCTAAGGTCTCGATATAGTTATAATTAAGTAATCATTGAAATCATCATCCCCACAATTTCGCATTTAGTACCTTGAACACATTTATAAGAAACACCTTTATAAGAAAGCAATCATTTTCATCTCATAAACCTCTGTTTATTGTCACATCGTTAACCTTTCAAAACACCATTTACCAGATTACAAACACCATAAGGAACCCATGATTACCGCCAATCCTTTTAACGAATACCATAAACTAGGGGCATTAAAACAAATCTGATAACCTAATATATGCCTTAAGGCGATTATTTTAAATGCCCGTTTTGCTTGTGAATTATGATAACTGATGAGCTCACGTAGGAACTCCGCCTTTTCGCCCACTGAACCATTAGGCCTTTGGTTTAACGCCAGCGTTTTCATTTCTATTTAATAGTTTCGTTGGGCGTGGCCAATCTAAGCGTTTTTCGATTAGGTAGTAGGTAAGCTTTGGTTTCGTGGAGGCGAACTGTGACATCACGAAATCAATTAATTATGTTAGTTTGAGCCTTAATTGAAGAGCTTCTAACTAGGGTACCGATTAAAATCGTAAGTTACTCCCTAAACGATTTATCCTCCAAAGAAACGAAAAATACTTCGCCAAAGAGATTAGCTTTTTCGATCTAGAATATCTATACGATGAATCGTAATTATGAGAAAAAAAGCTTAACGGATCGTTCATCCTCTTCTAATATTCAAATTTTAAAGAGATAGAAAAATCTATCAGATTGACTT